AACGCAGACGGACCCGACGAAGAACACGGAGCCAGCCATGCTTCGAAACGCTCCACTGGGCAAGGGTGGGCCAGGCGCCCTGCCGGGCACTCGCTCGAGCGCAGTCGAGCCCAAGCCAGAACACGAGACCCTCCGCCGGCCAAAACGCGCAGAGCATCCAAGGGCACCCTCCCCAGGGTGCACAAGAACACCCAACCAAACACGAAGAACATTAGGGTATCCTCCCCGAGCCGACCTCGATCTTATACCTCTGGCAGACTGTACGTGAACATTCCTTGCCAGTAGTGCCGCCCGTGGCGGAGGACGACCATCTTCACCAAAGCGACGACGAAGAAGAGCCAGTAGTGTAGGAGGTCGACAGCGGGGCACACGGGCGGCAAATGCTGAGCGAGCATGCGCATGGAGGCGGTCGAGGCTCGGCTGATTAAACTGCTCCTGGCCATGTGAACTGGCGATGTCAAGGCTAGCCCGAGGCATTCCGGCAATGCGTCGGAACCCGCGCGTGTAGCACGCGTTCACGGTTACTATATCGTGGGGAGTCAGCGCAAGGGTGTGTACCGCCAACACGAGCCGACTCAGCACGAGAGGGCGCAGTAATGCCAGACAGCCTTTTTTAAAAAATAACCGCATGCCGATGATAATAAAGGGACCCCCCCTTCAGTGTTTAGAGTTGATTATCGTCGCCCTATACAAAATTCAAATTGGGCGGCGAGCGCTGAGGCCGAACTTCATTATCACCTCGAAACGCTATGTTGAGATAGCAACATCAAGCGATGTTGATATAGCAACATCAAGCGAAGCGATCACACTTTTTCAGGATGTGTCAAGCGAAACCAATAATTTTGGGAGGCAGACTCAAACGAAACGAGCAATGTTCTTATTATTCTTCTACTTTCCTCTTCTTCTTTTGTATTTCTATCTGTCCTCACGCTCGCCTGAACTTGTTTATCCCTGGGGTTGATAATCCATGGAAAATGAAGCACATGAGCTACCCTACACGAGCACTTAAACAAATCAATTTTCATAAAGCGTTTGTAAATTAAAATTGATAGATTTGGAACTTTGGATTTTTCCTTTCTTCGTCCTCTTCTTATTCTCCTCTTCTTCTTCTTTCTTATTATTCTTCTACTGTATTCTTCTTCTTTTATATTTCTCTCTGTCCCCACGCTCGCCTGAACTTTTTTATCTCTGGGGTTGATTACCCATGGAAATTGAGGCACATGAGCTACCCTACACGAGCACTTACAAAAAACAATTTTCATGAGAGATAAGCCATTGTTGAGGATATTTCTATGAAAGCTAAACGCCAAGGATGTCTCAAAACGTGCTCGGCTTGGTCTCCTCTTGATCATCTCGTACTTCGAGATTATGCTGAGGTCTGCTGGGCTACTTTTATTATCTCTCCCTGAACCCCGAACTTTATTATCCCCTAGTGTTTTATTCTCACGGGCATGAGGTTAAGAATGAACTTTACCACCCTCTCCCCCAGATTTATTGGTCCCCACGGGACGCTGCAAACTATGTACCATTCGGCCTCATTATTCATTCATTTTTGCATTTTCCATACGAGCTCAAACCATCGCAAGAAAGCCGATCTTGCCCCCCCGCATCCCAATCAAATAATACCATGCGAGCGCACTTGCTAATCCCTCGCAAAAGACTGTTCGAAGTCCATGCGGGCGCGTACATCTCGAAGTCATACCAATCAGTCCAAGTGTGCAATCAATCGCTTTAAGACTTAAGACAAACGTAACCAAACCGATCACGAAGATTGCAATTGTTCTGCCCGCGAGCGTTTGCTGAAATCGCTTGATGTTAACAATCCCGTCCCAAACCCACATTCTCATCTCATCACGCGGTGCTTCTGCGTTGATCCAGCGTGCACCCAGTCAGCAAATCCGTAACACATATCACCATGCGGGCCACACGCGCGCGTCGCCACGCGAGCACGTCGAAATCCATCAGAAACAATTGGTTTCCGACGCGTGTCGAGATTGAGGCCCGCAACGTTATTCAAAATCAGAACGTGCCAGGTTTCTCAGATATCCGCGCGCGTACATCCTCACCATCACATTCATCAGCACCGCCGCATCACCACCGTTATCCCCATCGCCAGTCGCCAACATCATCGCAATCACCTTCACCACCGACAGATGGACATCACCAACGTAATTGCCATCGTCGTCACCAGCACTGGCACTGCTTTCTTCAGTTCGACCACCATCCTTACTACCGGCATTAATATGAAATGCCCGCGCACCAGCGCGGGCTTTGAACAAAAACTGGGAAGTGGCCATCGGTAAGCGCCATCGCGGCCGCATCGACTGTGCCAAACCAACTGGTCGCTCTGCGCGGGCACTTGCGCGCGCTAGCGCAGCCGCAGAGATGCACCAGCCCGTGTCAAGGAGTTCCTGCAATCGCGGCCGCATAGGTTGTGCAAGCTAAGTTGCGGGTGGGAGGGTGAGATGTTTGCACGAGCAGTGGAGTTGACAAGTCATCAGTGAACATGTTTTACCACGTGGGATGCACCAAATCGTCTGCGCTACATGGCTCGTGCCACATAACTTACACCACACGGTTGCGCTACATACCTTGCGCCACCTCACCATCGCTTACACCACGTAGCATGAGCCACATAGCTTCGCACATCCACAGTGCAAGTACTTACTGTTCGGGGTCCGCGCTGGCTACACAGCTTTATATAATTGAAGCGTGCACGAAAATATCATCACCTCTCTCGATGTGTGTATCGGAGATTGGGGGGTGAGATCGAAGTTGAACGGAGAGCCCCCCTACCGGGAAATCGATTTCGGTTTCGTGTTCGTGCCGTGCGTGCGGGCGAGGCGAAGCTGCGTGGGCGGGGGAGAGGATTCTCCTGTGGCTGGGCCGCGGCTGGACCAAAAGGCTCTCCGCCCGGCAACCGGTGGCGCGCGGTGTCCCGCCGGTGTCCCGCTGGTGTCCCGCTGGTGTCCCGCCGGTGTCCCGTCGTGGCTGGGCCGCGGCTGGACCAAAAGGTTCTCCGCCCGGCAACCGGTGGCGCGCGGTGTCCCGCCGGTGTCCCGCTGGTGTCCCGCTGGTGTCCCGCTGGTGTCCCGTTGTTGTCCCGTGGTGTCCCGTGGTGAGATCGACAGTGAGGTCGATAGTCAGATCGATAGTGAGATCGATAATGAGACCGAACGTGAGATCGATAGTGAGATCTATAGTGAGAGATCGATAGTGAAAGATCGATAGTGAGATCGATCGTGAGATCGATCGTAAAATCGATAGTGAGATCGATAGTGAGATCGATCGAGTGGGATCGATAGCGAGATCGATAGTGTAATCGATAGTGAGATGAATAGTGAGATCGAAAGCAAGATCGATAGTGAGATCGATAGCGAGATCGATAGTGGGATCGATCGAGTGTGATGGATAGTGAGATCGACAGTGAGATCGATTGTCCCGTCGGTGTCCCATCGGTGTCCCGTGGTTTCACGTGCTGAGATCCGCTCTGGCGCTGGTTAGCACGGCGCCCTGCCCCCTCCCCCCCCAACCTCCTTAACACATGCAAAATGGTCGTATAGGTATATATACATATATATATATACACCTATATATATGTATGTATGTATGTATCTCTCTCTCACACTGTTTCAATATCTCTCTCTCTTTTCCCTATCTTCCTCCACGCAAAAAGAGCGCAGCACCTCCAGGCGTAATCTTTTCGACCTATTCTGCCGAACGACGCCATCAAGTGGTGCCCGCCCTCGCTGCACTTGGTATGGGTACGTCGCCGCGCGCAGTGCGCGTCGCTACAATGCTTCACCAACATTCAAAAGCCCCGCTTCTCCTGCTCCACCTCGAGCACCCCCTGCCCGTTCGAGACCGCCACGAGATGGAGAGCTTTTTCCGTGCCGACGTTCGGGCACCAAGGCACCAAGTCACGCTTACCGGGATGTCACATCTACATTTGCTCTGGTCCCTGCTCACTGCTTTCACGAACTGGTATTGGTCTGTTGGCGCAAGGTTTCCGCTGCGCGAACAAAAACCCGGGGAATTTCGAGGAATGCCCAGGGGAAAGCCCCCCATGTTCTGGGAAGACTGTGGGAAATCGAAAAGTCCAGGGAAGAAATCCGGGGCAGTCCACGGCTGGAAACGAAAACCTTGCGCCATCTCGCCATCCAGAGCCAAGCGTCCTGAAACGACGAGAAACAGGTAGTTTCACCGAGAGCCGAGAGACGAGCTGCAGCTGATTCCAGAGCCGAGCGCCCTGCAACGACGAGAGCGGGGAACGCTTCGTCACGCTTGACCTTCTCCTCCCGCCGCATTCCCCCCGCGGCTGGAACGCGACTATTCCAAGCAGAGCCCCGATAGCAGCGCAGGGTGGCAGCGGACGGGGTAACATGGTGGCTGGCCGTTTGCGAAGAACGAAGCGCAGCAGCGCAGTGGGCAACGGAAGGCAGCAGAGCGCATGGACTGGTGGCGGGCCGCCAGCACAGCGAAAGGCGGTCAAGGAATGCAGCAGAGAAATGCAGCAGTCATCAAAACGGAATGCAAGAACGATGGCAGTACACAGCGGAAGGCAACGCCCCTAGGGATGGCGACTGGCCGTCCGCAAAAGAAAAGCGGGCAAGACAGCACGCGCGCGGTCGCCGCGCCCGAGCGCAAGAGAACCCTCGCAGCCGCTGCGGCGCAGTCGAAACTGCCAAGGCAAAACGCGGCTGGGGGTGACTCTCCTTTGCCAATCGCCAAGCTGGAACGCGGCTGGGGTCGACTCTCCTCCTGCTCCCCCTCCCCTGTTCCACCGTTCCTCCTCTTCCTCCTCCTTCTCCTCCTCCTCCTTCTCCTCCTTCCTTCTCCCCCCTGGGCCCCCAGCCCGGGACGCCGAACGGCGGAGGCAGCTGCGGACCCGAAAGCCGAAGCCAGCACGCGCGCCGCACGCTGCCGGCACACAGGGGAACGGCCCAAGAGGGGGGCGCGCGGCCCCTCGCCCCCGTGCCCAAGCGGCCAGCCGATCAAACCTACGACTGTGCAGATCGACGTCCCTCCCTTCCAGCGCCTGGGTGCGTAATTATCTACCGCCTGGAGAGCCGATATCCGAGGGCCCCAGGGGGGCAGTGGACGTGGATATTTTTTGTTGGCCCCAAGGGGGGCCTGGATATACATGTATATATATATATATACATGTATACATATATATATGTATATGAACATGTAAATGTATATATATATATATATGTATACATATATATATATATATATATACATATATACCATATGTATACATACATGGCGATACATACATATATATATATATATAATGCGAACGCTCGCGGGGCCATTACGGCGCCAAGATGCCCAAACTACACCGGCCTAGCGGGAATCACGGCGTGAGCCTCGCAGAGGGATGACAAACATCAAATCCAACGACATCGAACTCTCCTTTATGTCTCCCTCAGGTCTCGAACGATCCAGCTCGAGCAAGCTGGAATGAAAACATTGGCGGCGACCAATGAAGCCAAAATGGATCTCGGCAGTCGTCTGAAATGTACACTGAGCAAAACCAATGAGGGCGACGGCGCCGCTCGAGTACACTCCACAGAAAGAAATAGGAACGGAGCCACCGCATAGGGCGGGCTGGGCGGGGCGGTTATGGACTAACCCCTCCCGCAAAGGAAAGACAGTCGTTGACTGCAAATCTTTCGAACGCTAGCGGGGCCATTACGGCGCCAAGATGCACAAGCTACACTGGCCTAGCGGGAATCACGGCGTGAGCCTCGCGGAGGGATAACAAGCATCAAATCCAATGACATCGAACTCTCCTTTATGTTTCCCTCAGGTCTCGAACGATCCAGCTCGAGCAAGCTGGAATGAAAACATTGGCGGCGACCAATGAAGCCAAAATGGATCCTGGCAGTCGTCTGAAGTGTACACTGAGCAAAACCAATGAGGGCGATCCGCCCCGCGACCCACCAGCCAAAATGGATCTGCAGTCGTCTGAAGCGTACACTGAGCAAGAACAGTGAGGGCGACGGCACCGCTCGATCACTCCAGCCCGCCAAACCATACTGTCGTAGTTTAGGGCGGGCGGGTCGGGAACTTCAACCAAGGTGAGCCTGCGCTCGAAGGCACCGAACCGAGTTGGCCGACACCGGCATCTGCTTCTTCAGTGAGTTGCGGCTGCCCACTTTGAGAAGATGCTCGCCATCTGAGATCTTGTCGCGAATGACCGCGACCTGACGGAGGAGCTTGCCCGACTTCTCGCACCGCTTGACACTGCGGGGCGCCAGCCAGCGACCCCGCTTCTGGATCAGCTTCAGATCGAGGAGGCCGAAGTGCATGGCCGAGCTGGCGCCGCCGTGCCTGGCCGAGTGCGGCGCGATGCTGAGCGGGCCCAAGCTCGCCAGCTCGACGCCCTTCAGGATCTGGCGATCGCGCTCGCCGAGGGCGGGCGGCGCGAACAGCGGCTGACCCGGGAGCGCCGCTCATTGAAGGGCAAGGAAAATCTCCAGCGCGAACTCAAATCCTGGGACGTCGAGCCCGGCGAGGACGGTGTCGTCGAAATCCCCGCTCTTCGCTGGGCATGCTGCCGGGCGCTCGCGCGCTGCCGCGGGCGTCATTGGCGGCGGCGCCTGGAGGCCTCCTCGCACGGTTGCCTCCGCGGCAGCCGCGCGCGCAGGCCTGGGGGCCACGATCGCGGCAACGCCCTGGTAGGTCCCGGTCCACGGGGCGACGACGTCCTCCTGCAGAGTGCTGAGCGTCTCCGTCGGCCTGGCGAAGAGGTCGCAGCGCGTCGCGAAGGCCAGGCCGCTCATGACGGAGAGCAAGCTGCCGTCCTTCAGGAAGGCTGCGACCAGGAGCGCCGCGGCCTCTCGAGGACAAGGGTCCTCGGACACGGGGGGGTCGCCCGGCGAACCCCCTGGAGCGAACGGCGGCTGCGCGGCAGCAGGCTGACCCCCTTGCCCAAGCCGAGCTCGAACATCGCTCCGAAGAAGACGCCCCTGGCTGCGATCGTCGCCTTGCCCCGCAGGTGGGGCTCCTCGGGGTAGGTGACCAGTGCCCCGTCCAAGCTGTCGAGATCCTTGGCTAGCTTCGCGGTCGACTGACCGCGCTGCGCTGCCCAGGCCATGAGATCCTCGAGCGCGGCGGAGTCGCGATCCTTGGTCCCCTCGCCTGCCGATCGCAGCTCGGGCATCGTGAGCAGCGAGTCCTCGGGCGCTGCTGCCTCTGCTGCCGGACGGCCAGCTTGCTCCTCGCGCGACTGGCCTGTCGCCATCGCGGCAGCAGGGCGCGCCTTCTTGAATGCTGCCCCTGTGGGCCCTCGCGGTCTGCGGTGCCGGCACTCGCACAGGGCGCCTCGGCGGTGGTAGCTGGCCGCCTCTTGGCTGGCGAGGGGGTCGGCGCTGCGCGCGGCCGACTGGAGTCGGCAGCCGGGCCCGACGTGCTGTCGTTCGGCAGGTGCTCGAACTCCCCAGGCGCTGGTGGCCCGCCCCCAGCCGATGGTAAAGGCAGCCGGGCATCGAGGCGGACGTGGAACCCCAGTGCTGCCCCAGCGCGGGCGGCCGCCCACCGCCGGGCAGGCCCGCGGCCCCGCCATAGCTCATCATAGCGCGCCCCGCTCGGGGCAGACCGAGCCGCGCAGCGTGCGATCGCGCGGCGGAGCCGGGGCGGATACTGCCGTGCCAGCTTGGAGACCCAAACGCTGCAGTGGTGACCAGAAGACGTTGGAATGGTGACCTCCCCCTCTAGAACGGTGCGTGGGGCGACGGCGAGGCCGAGGCCCGGGAGTGTCGAAGCGAGTCGAGTCGGCTTTCGATAAGGCGCCCCGAATCTGCGGATGTCGAGGTCGACGTACGAGCACCCAAGCTTGTTGAGAATACCTTGCATCGGCTTCCAGGCCCAGAGTCGCGACGAGATAGGATTTTCGACCGCGGTGACATGAATGGCGTGCTGCTTCAGAGCGTCCAAGACAGCCATGAGGATTCGAACTGAGGCCAACGCGCATGCCAGCACAGCTCGGGCCGGAGGTGCCACTGCGGACCCCGTTGACCGAACATGTGAAGCCCAAGTGCAAGGAGCCCCCAAGTGCACCAGACACGACCCGCGCGAATCCACCCGAAGATAAGTCCCAACATGGCCAGCCGAAGGATGTCGAGGTGGGGCCGTTTTCCAACTCGAAAGGCACGGCGACGTCCAGCCCAGCTTGGTGATCGGCCCCTGACATGTGAGCGCTGCCTGCGAGAAGGTCTAAAACGAATCGCCCGGCGTGCCAGCTGGCCGATGGCCGCGTCGCCACTGACCCGCTCGGAGGAGGGCCCGCGCAGGCGCCGCGGCCAGCCTCGGGCGCCGCTGGCGCCGCTGCAGCCCGCGCCGCGGAGACCAAGTCGCGCTGCAGGAGGCCTGAAACTGCATCGGCTCGACGCTGATCCTGACGACGAGCGCCCCCATGAGGCGCCACTGCGTCAGCAGGCGCCAGCTCTCCGCGGTCGCCAAGCCGCGAGTTATTGCCCGAAAGGTTCCTGTCAGTGTCAACGTATCCTCTGCGCCGGTCGAAGCCGGAGGTGATCTGCCACGCCACCGCCTCGCGGCAGCAGCTGTTCAGCGCGCAGTTGCAGGCCCACCCGCGCTCCTGCGCCAGCAGCTCGCTCATGTTGTCGCCGAAGGAGACCACCGCCGCGTCCTGGGCACCAAGCAGGCCCGCCGCGAGCCGCAGACCCGGCAGCGAGGCCCGCGCCTCCAACTGGTGGATCGCCTCGCGCCTGCGCCAGCAGCCTGCCACCGCGAGGCCCCAGCGCCCACGACGAATGAAGTGGTCGGCAGCGGCTGCACTGTGCCGTCGGTGCGCTCGTAGTGGCGGCGCCTCCCGCCAAGCTGAGCAGGGGCGGCGACTGCGCCACTAGGCGGGCGGGTGTCATCCCGCGCCGCGCCGACCTCGATGAACGCCCAGTCCTGGCTCGGCAAGTCGTCCAGCAAGGCCGCCGCCGCAGGTGCATCACTCGGCCCGCGCGCGACGTACTCCACCACCTCGCGGAAGCGCCGGCGCTCCTTCCACTGCGCCACGTCGTAGACCTCCGACAGGCCCGCTGTGGTCTCGTGGAGTGCGTGGCCGTGGAACGACGCGTCGGAGCGCCGGGCGGGCGGGCGCAGCGGGCGCCGCAGGTCCGCGACCGCGATGGGCAGCATCGCGCGCGCGACCCAAAGCATATCCCAAACATCATCAGGTACGAGGGCGACGCGACCCCGCTGCTCGCGCGAGAAGGTGCGCACGCTCTGCAAGATGTAGAGCAGCGGCGGCCGCGGCCCGAAGTGATGAAAGAGGTGGCCACACAACACCCGCATAGCGCCCCCAGACAGGCGCTCGAGGGTCAGGACGCTGCCGAGCGCAGCCCACAGGCGCCAGCAGCGTCGCTGGGTGCGACGCAGCCGCCGCCGAGGCCCATCGGGCACCAGGCCGAGGAACCCGAAGATCGGCTCGCCGTCGACGCGGTCTCGCAGCACGACCCCCCGCCGTCGCGGGTCCGCCGGCACCGCGTCGAAGACCCGCCGACCCCCCAGCCGCCCGACGGCCAGCATGTTGACGTTGTCGACGCACGGCGCCAGCGCAGGCGCGCGCGGCCCGCAGCAGACCGGCAGCTGTCGGCCTCCGACGAGGACGTCCGGGAGATCGACCTCGCGAAGCGCATCCCGCATGTACTCGGAGATGGCCTCGTTGCAGAAGTTGAGCGCCCGGGATCATCCCATGGCCATGTCCGAGAGGCACGCCTCGAGGACCTCGAAAAGCTGGGCGGCGTCGAAGGCCCGCAGGTCGTCGTCGCGCACCTCGTCGATCGTCATGCCGAAGTCGCGGACGATGTCGGTGGCCGAGCTCGAGTAGCCCAGACCGAACATGGAGGCGAGGCCCTCACACTTGAACTGGTAGGGGCCGTCAGTCAGGTCGATCGGGAACCCCGCCAGCTCGTCGTCGTCGGGGGAGCTGAGCTTGCACTTCTCCATGAGGCCGAGCCGCTCCTGCACTGCGCCGAAGGTCTCGCCGCCGGCGGAGAACCTCGCCAGGGCCCCTGGGGCCGCGAGCTGGCTCAGCGGGCGCGGGCGGCACATGTGGTTGGCCCACCTGGCGTCGATCACCGGCCGGTCTTTCTTCTTCGCGAAGAAGCACCCTACGCGGCGCCGTGCCCGCCGCCTCCACGCGAGCAGCCTGGCCCTCGAGAGCGCGCTGAGGAACAGTACCTTCTTGGCGCGGCTGCCCGTGAAGATCGGGCCCCAGTAAGGTCGCCCGCGAAGGGCCCCAGCGCCCGCGTCGCGCCGGCGCTCGGAGCCCGACTTCAAGATGTGCGCGCGGGGGGGGCGCCGATGAGCTTCGCAGCCTCTGGAGGCGTCACTGTCGCCGCGCCCTTCGGGGCCAGGTCGCCCTTCAACGCCCTCAGCTTGTCGATGTCGTGGGGCCCCGGGGCCGCGCTCCCCGGCGCGGCGTAGAGGTCGTCGGAGTGCAGCAAGTCCGCTAACGTGTCCTTGCCAGAGGGCGCGCCACGGCCACCAGCGGACCAGAGGGGGCACGCAGCCGCTCGATCGCCCGGCGTTGCCAGGGAGAGCAGCGCGCGGGACCGAGACGACTCGCGCGGTGCCGATGTAGAAGTGGCAGCCGCGGATGCGCCTCCCGAAAGGCAGACAGCGCCACCGCTGCGTCCGAGACGAGGAGGTCCGGGCACTGGGCGACGTCGTTGACCTGGGAGACTCGTCGAGAGCGCGGCGACTGGCCCGACCCCTTGGTGACCAGGGGGAAGGGCAAGGATGCCTCGTAGAAGTCCCTGGGAAGCTGAGGCTCCACTCCCCCGGGGCGGCAGCCGGCGCTCAACCGATGGCCGCCCCCGCCGCCCGACGAGCCGCCGCCGGGCTTTTCCTTGTCCTTCCTCGGGTTCGCGCGGTCCTTGGCCTTGGCGGCCAGCTCCTCTCTCAGGCGGCGGTTCTGTTTCAAGGTCCGCGCCTCCTGCTCCGCCAGCGTCGCCATGTGAGCTGTGAGCTCGAGGGTGGCAATAAGGCCGCCGGCCACGCCCATGGCGTGCTCCGTCATCTTCGACAAGCCCTGGAACGACGGCGACTTCGGGTCGTCCCGCGCCGCCCGCTCGATCTGCAAGATCCGCCGCGCGAGCAACTCCGGGCTCGCTGGGCCGCTGGCGTCTAGGCAGTCGTAGCCGAGACCGAGAGCCAGGACCTGGCAGTGGATGCGGTGCTCGAGCGCGACCCCGCTCTCCGAGTGGACGCCAGACTGGCGGGCCCAGTGCGAGTGGTAGGTGAACAACGTAAGGCCCAAGGCAACGACCCCGCGAACCAGCTCCACCACCGCCCGCGGGCCTGAGTGTGGCCAGTCGCTCACCTTCGCCAAGTCGAAGAGCCGGAAATGATCTGCAGCCTGCGACAGCGGGGCGAGGCTCGAGCCGAAGTCGTTGCCACGCGCAGGCAGCAGCCGTCGGTCGCGCCCCGCGCCGCTCTGCTTGTCCGCTCCCAGCTGGCGAACTCGGCCGTGGGCGCCAGCTCTGCGAACAGCCAGCGGCGCGGCTCGCCCCAGTTGACGAGCGCCACGGCGCCACGCACCTCGCCCGAGCTCGACGCCTCGTCTGACGGCACCTCCTGCCCGAACTCCGCTGCGCTGGTGTCCGCGACCCGCCACGCGTTGCCACCGCCCGCTGCAGGAGCACCCGGCACGCCCTCCGCGCCCATGATGATCGCGAACCGTGTCGCCGCCGCATGGTGCCCCAGTAGCTCGGCCCCCGAGAGCGCGGCGATCAACGCACAATCGCCCGCCGCCCTCGCGGGCACCGCCGCACCACGCGCCAAGGTGACGAGCTCGAAACTCGCTCCAGTCCATGACGTCGAGATCGCCGCCAGGCCCTAACACCACCCAGCGCGACTCCCTGATCCGACGCAACAGCACGCGACGCTGCCATGTCTCGGCGTAGCCGTCGATCGATGCCAGCACCTGCGGCTCGTCGATGTCCAGCACGCGCCCATCAGCGCCGCACCTCTTGCGAGGCGCGCACCGCGAGCAGCTCAAGCGAGGCGCGTGTCCGCGGGCGCGGCCCGCCAGTCGCCGCGGGCGCGGCCCCAGCGGCACCGTGCACGGCCACCGCCGTCGAGCGCCGCCGACAGCACCAGCCGCAGGCCCCCGCGACGCAGAGGCCGAGGAACGCCAGGAGCAGCACCGCGACCCCCGCGATGACCCCCAGCACCACCGCCGCCAGCCGCCACCACTCCAGGGCAGCCTGCTGGCTGAGGAACTGCCGTAACTCTTCGTCGCACGTGCAGTCCAGGGAGGCCTCGCACGTGCTGGCGTTGGGTCCGGACCCCCACGCCGAGGCGGGCGACTCGACCGCCAGCACGATGCACGATGCCGCGGTGGATGTCCCCAAACACGCAGTGCCCCGCCCAGCCGAGCGCCGCCGCCCCCAGCCCGGATCCATCATCCGCCGCGCGAGCCCTGGGAGGCTGGGCCCAAGCAGCTATGGACCAACCCCTCCCGCAAAGGAAAAGCAGTCGTTGACAACATATATATATGTATATGTATATGTATATGTATATGTATATGTATATGTATGTGTATATGTATATGTATATGTATATGTATATGTATATGTATATGTATATATATATGTATATATATATACACATCCACGGCCTCACGAAGTCCAGGCATGTTGCTTCCATCGGCGGTAGGCATGGCAGAATGAGGGGTTGCCGAACGGTCTCACTTCGTCCGTATGCGCGTTTTGGGATGGCGGTCGTCAGTCCTCTGAGACCACACGAGGAGACTATCTTGGAGAACCATGCGAGGGGACCCTGGGGGGGAAACCATACGAGGGGAACACTCGGGGGGGCCTCCCATACGAAGGGGCCATACGAGGGAACCATGTGAGCATACCGTGCAGGGGGGGAACGCTGCGGCGGGCTTGATCAAGGTTGTTGTCGATCCATGCAAAAACTACTGTCGACCTCCCCCCGCCCCCTCACTCTTGTCCGCAACTGCAGGGGGCACGCGTGAATCCTGGCATCGGATGCCTTGCGCGTGCGCGAAACTGGCGCTGCCCCCGGCCGCCTCAGTCGCGACGCTTGATGCGACCGCCAGCGCACATGTTTTTCGCCCTGAACTCGTCGCGGAGCGCTTCCTTGTACTCCTGGCGGGCGCCACCCCCCCCCCGCAGTGCTCGCAGGCATTGGGACGTGTCAGGGTGTTTGTTGCTTGTCGGGCAAGGTTTCTGTGATTTTCTGGGGCGGCCTTCCCTCCTCGAAGCAGACCGCAAGTAGAACCCCCCCTGGCTCCTTCCGCGCTCCGGCGCTCTCTGCGGCCCTCGGCCGGCTCCAACACAGCTGAAGACCAGCTCAGACAGGCTGCAGGACGCCGGAAGATCATTCCGCGGGCGGTCTTCTGAAAGCCCAGGGCCTCAAAATCCGCCGACCCTGTCGGCATGTGAAGAGGCTGTTCCGTTTAATTCGTCGTCGTCGTCGTCGTCGTCGTCGTCGTCGTCGTTGTCGTTGTCGTGGTCGTCGTCGTCGTCGTCGTCGTTGCCGTCGCCGCTCCCCTCTCCTTTCCCTAGGCCCGTTGTAGTTGAGTCGAAGGGAAGCCCCTTCTCTTCGATCCCTTTCCCACCGGGGGGGGGTCCCGGGGGGGTCGCCACCCAGATGCGACTCCCCCCTGGCGGGGTCGCCACCCAGATACGACTCCCTTCTGGGCGGCTCGGGGGCCCAGAAAAGCCCCAAGAACGCAAGCGTGCCCCAAGCTGCCCCAAAGACGGTGCTCGAGGGCCCCGAATCGCCGAAGTATCGGTCCAAGTCGCCACAGTAGCCTCCAGACGGCTCAAAAGGTTTCCAAAATGCCCCAAGAGGCCCGATGCTCCAAGATAGGCCAAGAGGCCCCCAAGACCGCCCCAAAATGGCCCAAGAGGCCTCCAAGAGGCCTTCTAGACAGCCGAGGAGGCCTCCAAGACGGCTCCAAGAGGGAGTCCAGACGAGGGACCCGAACGGTCATTTCGAGCCCTCGACCCCCAAATGCCCCTAAGAAGCCACCCGAGAGGCCCCAAAAAGCATCCAACAGACCCCCGGGAAGCCCCAAGAGGCCCCCGCGAGGCTCCCAAGCGGCTCCCAAGAGCCTCCCAAGAGGCCCCCAAACTACCCCCAAGAGGCACACGAGAGTCGTCGTCGTCGTCGTCGTCGTCGTCGTCGTCGTCGTCGTCGTCGTCGTCGTCGTCGTCGTCGTCGTCGTCGCCATTCAGGGTCGGCTGCGCTGGCCGTAAAGCCTCCGCAAGAACCCCCCGACTGCCGAAATCGCAAAAAAAACGCCCGCTTGTCGCGTGATGCGGAGATCAGGGTCCAGATCCTGCTCGAAACGACGGTTTCTGCAACGCATTCGCAGGGGGGTGTCTGGGCATCGTTCCTTCTCCCCCTACTCCACCTCCCCCTCTTCCTCCTCCTTCTCCTGTTCCTCTTGGTCACGGTGGGGTCGATCGACGTGTAGCCAACGTGATCAGGGGAGAAGTAGCAGATTGACCCCATCACTGTCTTGCTGGACTTGGAAAGCAGGGGGAGCAGGAGAGCGATGCAGAAGGTGGCGAGCAAGGAGTGGAAGAGCCGGCTGCAAAAGCGCGGCCAGCGTGGCGCGGGCGCCATCCATCGGCGGACCAAGCCAGCGGTGCCATGGCAACGTCTGGCGCCAACGGCGGCGCAGGAGGTTGACGAGCACACGATGGCACACCTACCACAGGCGGCCAACGTGGCTTTTGAAGGCTGGGAGGCTGCGCGGGGGGCGGCGAGTTCCAACCGACCGCGCCCCGGAGCCAGCCACTCGCATCACGCGGGTGGAGGTGGTGGAAAGCAGACAGAGATTCGGGGGCAAGACTGGTTTGGGCGAGGCTGACTGGCACCCCAAGCTGTGGAAACAAGGCGATGCGCACCTGGACATGCGATGCCTCGTCTCTTTTTTTCAATGCGCGGTCCCGGGAAATCCTGACCCCTTCCCCGCGACTGGCCTTTCATCCCGTACATTTTCTGAGGGTCCTGGGGCTTGGTAAGGAGGAGGAGGAGGAGGAGCAGGAGGAGGAGCAGGAGGAGGAGTAGGGGGAGGAGGAGGAGGAGGAGGAGGAGGAGGAGGAGGAGGAGGAGGAGGAGGAGGAGGAGGAGGAGGAGGAGGGAGAAGAAGGGCCCCTGCCATTTTCTGAGGCCCCAGGAAACGCTGCACGTCTGGGCAGCAGGAACTCCGAGGGCCGCCGCCGGGCTCGAAACGCGGTCGAGGCGGGCAGCCACGGTCGAGCTCACAGCCGACCCTCCTCGAACGCAGCCGAGGCGCGCCAAGTCCAGTGCCTGCATCACGAAGCAGCGCTCGCAGGCCGTTTGACCTGGAACCTCATCGAGCCCGAGGCCCGCAGGAGAATTTCACGAACCTCGGGCGGATGCCCGAGGCGGTGGAGCCCCAGAAGGGCATCCATATATACGCGGGTCGCGCGTCGCGCGGCGCGCGAAGGACGCGAAGGGCCTCGTTGGATCCCATCTTGAAGGCCGTGGGGGACCAGCCGCGTGCACACGGCGAGGCGGTGGGGGGCGACAAACCCAGAGACCCGAGGATCTGATTTTTTCAATCCGGCGTTCTCTCTTGGACATTCGGCCTCCGGGGCCCGTCATCAAGCCCAGGGGACAGGAGGGCACACGGCTGGGCCGCCAAAGTACTGGTCGAGCGACAAGGCAACACGGGTCCAAGCGATCTTCTGCGAGGCGAGAATGGCCGAGGGGCGGGAAGCACGGTGGCGTACTTCGACTTGGTCCAACGGTCCGAGCACACGAAGCACGACATGGTCTGGGCGGCGGGGTTCCGATGGTGCTTCAACGCAGTGCTGATGCGCGCGATCCGGAGGAACCACGCAATGGTGGGGCGCATCGTCCTGTACAGGTGCTACACAGAGCGACGGCGACGGCGACGGGTGTGAGGCACAGTGGCGGGCATCGGGTTCTGGTCCGTGTGCCTCAAGATTGTCATATTCTCGGAGCTGGGCCACCTCGTCACGGCTTTCCCGTCGGCGGACATGTCTCGGTCCTTCGACGACCAGGCCATGGCGACCTACTGGGCCAGGGAGTCCGTGCAGCACTGGCAACCGCAGCTGATCAAGGAGGTGATGCGCATGTCCCAGCAGACGCTGGACATGAAGGCGTTCAAGGGAATCGACGGCAAGACAGTGACGCTGGCCTCCAAAATCCCCCTGGGCGAGAAGCAGGCCTAACGCACTAGCAGCATGGGCGTGAAGGCTGTGGCGCACGATGAGCATCTGGGCGTTGCGACGGCAGCGGGCAGGAAGAGGCACGTATGGGGCCATCAACAAGAAGGCTCTCACGTTCGCAACTCGCCGTGACCACTCTCGAATGGTCCGCGTGGGATATGAAGGTCCTCCTCCTCCTCCTCCTGCTCCTCCTCCTCCTCATGCTCCTCCCCCTCCAACCCCTCCTCCTCCAACCCCTCCTCCTCCTCCCTCTCCTCCTCCTCCTGCTCCTCCGCCTCCTCCTCCTCTTCCTCCTCCTCCTCCTCCTCCCCGTTCTCCTTCTCCTCCTCCTCCTCCTCCTCCTCCTCCTGCATTCAAGGTCATCAGCAACGCCAGTGTACCGTCCTTGCTGTGCGGTGTCAAGGTCCTGCGGATGGCGGACCTCCTGGCTGGGCGAGCTGAGGCAGAGCGTGACCACGGCGGTGCCAGTCACCAACAAGGGGCGATCTATCTTGTTGGCCTTGCTGTGCGACGTGGACCCAGGTATCTTGGCGAATGCAGCGCCAAGGTGGGCACAGGGCTGGCAGGAAACGATCGAGGATCTCCAGCTGGCAAGGAGGCTCACGACGGCATGGGAAACATGGGTGATGAGGATGAGCCGTGCCGAGGCACCGTGGTAACGAGCTCGGTTTCCTGCTGGGGCGCATGTGGTAATGATCGAGCGGTTGGGCTGGATGACGCAAACGGCGCACTCCTTGCCATCGGCACCAGCACCTACGATCTGCGCTACCCCCCGCGGAACCATGTGCGCCAGACAATCGTGCAGGGCCCGAAGGACGCGTGGCTCCGCAAGCGGGACGGTGAGTGCAGCTTGAAATCTATACTCGTGGAGGCTGCGCAGGCACTCGCGCGGAATGCCTTCGAGGGCAGGTGGACGCGCGCCGCGTCGCGGGGAGCGCGCTCGCCGAGCAACGAACTATTCCTCGCGCGTCGCGTCGAGCTGGGTTCTTCGCGCGCGCACGCGAGCACACCAGACGCGAGCTCGAGGACAGCGGTGCGGCGGCACATGTGGCCACAGGGGCGGCCCTTCGGCAAGGGGGGCCGTGCTGGGCAGCAGCTGCAAGAGGCGCGCCGCGCGCTCCCCGTCAGCTCGGACGTCCATCTCCCCTGTGTGTTTTGTTGTTGTTGCGGTGCCGTGCGCGGCTTTTCCGCGGGACGATCCAGGATACTCCTTCAGGATCTCCGCCGAGGAAGAAGTGCACACCTCCGAGCGGTACCAAGCGCGAGGGCGAGGTCAAAAACTGGGGGGCAAGCAAACCTGCCTCGCTCTTGGCCACCCTCGCTTCCAAGAGGTACCACGCGATGCCAAACTGCGGCCTGTACCGGTCAGGCCGCTTGGCGAGGAGGCGCGCGGTATGACTTGGTTTTGCCTGGAAGCGAAAGCGGGGTAGGTAGGTACGGCAGGTTCGCGTCGTGTCGACCCCGGCGTTGGTTTCTGACACCGCGGGGATCGTTCAACCTTGAACGATCGGCCGTTTCCGAAACGTCAAAATCGTTCCACATCGAACGATTCTGGGTCGCCCGCGGCGTTCAAGGTTGAACGCCGCTGGCGGGGTCGCCGCCCGTCGACACGACACGAACCTACCGTAATTCACGCTCTGAGAAGCAGGCACCGCACCTTCGAGTGCCCAGCCGGGGCAGAGCACCGACGCGCTGCCGGCGGGCGGCGCGCCGCGCAGAGAGCGGCGAGCCCGTGGCCTCGGGCAGCGCAGCCTCCGGGGCCGCGCGCTGTGGCCGACGGCCCGGGAGGGGGCGCATTGCAGCACCGCGGACGCATCGTGGGCTTGCTCTGGTTCTCTTCCTCCTCCTCCTCCTCCTCGCTCCTCGCTCCTCGCTCCTCGCTCCTCGCTCCTCCTCCTCCTCTCTCCTCTCTCCTCTCTCCTCTCTCCTCTCCCTCCTGCTTACTGCTCATCGTCCTCCTGCCTCCTTCCTGCTTGCTGCTCATCCTCCTCTCCTCTCTCCTTCCTCCTCTCCCCTCTCCTTCCTCCTCTCCCCTCTCCTTCCTCTCCTTCCTCTCCTTCCTCTCCTCCTCCTCATCTTGGGCTTACTCTCCCCTCTCCACCTCCTTCCTGCTCGGGAGGCTCCCAGAGGTCCCCATGGGCCAGCAGGGGTCCTCCAAGGTCCAAAGGGGGACGTCTGGGGGCCTCCAGATGCTCCCGGAAGCTCTGGTTCTCTTCCTCCTCCTCCTCCTCCTCCTCCTCCTCCTCCTCGCTCCTCGCTCCTCGCTCCTCTCTCCTCCTCCTCCTCCTCTCTCCTCTCTCCTCTCCCTCCTGCTTACTGCTCATCGTCCTCCTGCCTCCTTCCTGCTTGGGAAGCTCCCGGAAGCTCCAGGGGCCTCTGGAATCCCAGAATGGGTGAAGACAGAGAGTGGAGGGGGAGGAGGAGACGGCGTGGAGAGCGGCTCCTCGAACGAACCCTCGAAGACCGTCACCTTGCCAGGCGTGTCCTGGGCGGCGAGAAAGAGAAGGAGGGGGAGGAGGAGGAGGAAGAGAACATCGAGCGTGCTGGCATGGACGAGGAAGCAAAGGAGGGGAGAACGGAAGATAGAGATACCAGCAACAACGAAGAGGCTGGCAAGAAGCCCTACCGCGTCCCACGATTCGGGCGCATCCCCACCCGCGCACATTCGCGGCCTGCCAGAAACAAAAATTTCATTGTTCAAACCGTCCTATCGCTGTGAAGACAAACTGCGACCTCCTTTCAAACAAGTCATCTGCACGCGCACACACACACATTGGCACACTCTGAACCAGACTGCCTCCTCCTGGCCGAAAATGATCCGTGGGTCGTTGTAAAGACAGACTGCGACCTTTCTTCAAGCACATGACCTGGCACGCACACACACAGTGGCACGCTCTGAACAAGACTTCATCCTCCTGGCCGCAATCATCCGTGGGCCGCTTCTGTCAGGGGGACGTAAGACCTGGGTACAGTGGACTCGGAAATCCCCGACGAGGTCGTCAAAAAATGACGAGGCCGAGCCTGCATTTTGACGAGGCCTCCCGCTGCAGACATCCCACGAAACTCCTCCTCGTCAAAATCCGAGGCGCGGTCGTCAAAAAACGATGGCGAACCTGAGTCCTGGCAAACCTGGGTCTTACGCTCCCCCGATTCTGGATTCACGAGCCACCAACCGCAATGCGGGCCCAGATCTCCGTCGCCATATCCTCTTTCGGCACGTGGCGATCCGGGACTCCTCCTCGCACCTCTCGAGGCCCCACCGCCGACACATCGACCGCCCTGGCCTTTCGACGCCGCCGGAGATCGAGGGGATTGCAAAAAAAAGGATTGCAACGAAGGATTGCAAAAAAACCCAGGATTGCAAAAACCAAGGATTGCAATCCTTCGTTTTTTGTTGCAATCCAAGTTTTTTTTTGAAATCCTTCGGGGATACCGGGGGCGCACACCGTTCGGGCAATTTGACCGTGAATCGCTCCGCAGACCCTCAAGACGCGAGGCACACGCCGGAGTCCGTAAAGAGCCGCGGCAAGCATCGCAGGGCTCGACCCGCGATGCCCGACTCCGCAGCGCGCCGTCGTGTGGAGGCTGTCCTGGCTAGGCTGCAACGTTTTTGACGGATGATGAAGAGGATCAGGCGGGATCTGATGCCAGGCCACGAGAAGGGGCGATGAGGAGGATCAGGAGAAGGACGAGGGCGGATGAGAGGGATCAGGAGGAAGATGAAGAGAAGAGGCCCGTGACGATCCGTTGAGGTAAAAGGGAAGGAACGCTGAGCTCCTGCCGGAGAACAGAAATACGACAGCACATGCTGCCAGTTGACGAGCTTAGCGGCTCAACGCTTGAAGAAGACACAATCTTTGGTAGGGAACGGCCGTCCGAATCGTCTACTTCTGACGTGTGGCCGGACGGGCGCTACAATAGGGCAGACGCGAGGAATACCGATCACGCCTCCACTCCGTCATCCGGAGCATGTGCGACGAGAATTCAAGGCTTCTGGAACGCCTCATGGGGACTGGCTTTCCATCCGTGCCCGATCGCACAACAGGCCCGAAAACTGGCAGCTCCATGCCCAGAAACGACGACAACCTTTCCGTTGAGCTCAAGCTCGTGGCTGCTGCTGTCGGCGACCAAGACGGTGCCTGCTGATGACATCGTCGGCCTCGGCGCCGGCCTCGGAAGCCAAGGTGTCGTTTAGGAGCCCGCCTGCCATTCCGGGGAGCGGCCCGGCCCGCCTTCTCGTCCTTTTTATCATTCCTGCTCTGGCCCCCACGAGCGCTAGCTCGTCCTCTTCATCATCGTTGTCCTTCTCGTCATTGCTCTACCTCGGAGAGCTTCTCTTCCGGAGGGCCCTGGCTCCCCCATCATTCAGCTCCAGACGTTGGGCCTCTGCATCCTTCAGCTCCAGACGTTGGGCCTCTGCCTGCTCGTCTGCCCGAGGGCGCCGAGGCGGGCGTCGAGTCAGAGGGACGGAAATCCGGTTAAAGATCAGCTTTTGGAGCTCTGGGCGGATTCCTGGCCTCGGCGCTGCGCCCCCCCTCCCCCCTGGCGCGCGGAGCGCGCCAGGGGCGGCGCCAGAGGCGCCGCCAGGGGGGCCCAGCGTAGATCCAAGAACTCCGCGCGGAGCTCCGAAGGTGGATCTCCAGACGTCTGTGTTTGCGCCGATCTCTCCTCTCGCCAAGAACTCCGCGCGGAGCTCCGAAGGTGGATCTCCAGACGTCTGTGTTTGTGCCGATCTCTCCTCTTCGACTGCCTGCTCCTCTGCCCCGAGGGGCGCCCCAAGGCGGGCGCCGAGCGCTCCGCGCGCCACTCTGGCAGACGGCCCTGCCCCTCCGCGGCGCGGCCTCGAGAGGCGCACGCGCCCCTGGCCGCGGAGGCCGCGCGCGAGAGGAGCTCCACGCAGGCAGCCTGTGCAGCCTCGGCACGGCCGCGGCTCGGCGAGGCCGATCCAGAGCCGGGGCCCGGGCGAAGCAGCGCCCGGGTGCCAAGAGGAGCAGGATGAAGCCCCTGAGATCCTGGCAGGGCAGTTCGCTCGCCGCGGGCGGCTTTGCCCTGCTTGGGGCCCCGGGGACCCTCATGGAGCGATGCGGCTCGAAAAAGGTGGTGCACAAAGATGGTGTCCAGGGCTCTGGTTGTGTTTTCTACGACGCTGCTTTTTTCTTTGTGGTGTCGGATCTCAGGGACAGGATTACGGGCGTCATTACTAGGATTACCACGAGGCGCAAGCATGAATGCGTTGAAGGACTCTGCCTGCATGGCGGACAACGCCAGCTCCAGCGGCGAGCGGTGCGGCATCGCAAGGATCTTCGGCAAGAGCCTCTCCAGGAGGAGCAGCACCGAGTGCAGGATCCGAATCTGAAGCCGCCGGGGAGGTCACATCGGCTGGAAGGCGGACTCGAATCGTGTTCACGTGCCATCTCGACGCTTCGTGACCGCCAGCACGAAGGACCCGCGTGGGCGAGAGCGTGCCCGTAGCAGGCAGCACGTCCAGTTTGGGACACCCAGCCGCTGGCGAGCCGACTGCGACTGCGGCAGCAGCGGAGACGGTGTGATGCCTCGGTCGCCCGCGAGCGAGATCACAACAGAGCACACGAGCGTTCCCCGCGCACGGCTGCTGGACGGCGTCACGCAGCGCCACCATCAGAGGAGCCACGAACAGCAGGAACCTAAAACGTCCAGAGGTCCCGCGCAGATCCAGGAGCCCGCGCGGAGCTCCGAAAGTTTCTGCTCATGCCACTTTCTCTTCTTCGAGGCTACGTGGCGTCGCGCAACACCACCATGGCCTTGCCGCCTCGCAGAACACCAGCAGTAAGTTTAGGTCGGGCACGTCAACCTACAAGCGGATCTCGAGAGGAAAATAACACCTAGTCAAACCATCATCGAAGCATGTCCCAAAGAGCACGAAGCATCGCCACCAAACTATGTTCTGACTCTTCTTGGATAGACCTCCTGTAGAGGGACATGCCCGATCTACCAGTAGGCTCATCCCTCTTGGACGGAGCGCGAAGGGCGACCAAGGAAGCATCGCCCACGGGCGGTCCAGAACGAGCAGGCACTCGCGGCACATGGGACACGCGGAGCTGGGGCCAACCCACCTCCCGTCCACTTACGGGCCGACATGGCCACGAGCGCCTCCCGTCCACTCACTAGCGCTGAGCTCACCTCCCGTCCACTCGCGCCCAGCTTACCTCCCGTCCGCTTTGGCTGTCCCCAGCGCTCTCCCACCCCTCCCTTTCTGCACTGGGCCACGTGCAGACAGGGAGAGCACCGGGGGCAACCAAAATTTTGCCAGAAGGGACCCCTTGATACGGGACGACGCCCCTTTTGGGCCTGAGGCGCGCCCGAGCGCACGGGGGAGCGCCAGAGAGCCAGACCCATGGAGGGACCCAGGGAACATCGAGCCCCTTCCCCAGCCCGGAGTCGACACTGCGCCAACCTGCTTGACTGCAGGGGGAGGACGCCGACGAGGTCGAGGGACGAGGCATGCCCGGGCTGGATCGAACCGTGAAATCGGATGGGATCGACAACGGATCGGATCGCGCCGGGATCGGCGCGGCAGCGGAGCGGGCTCGGGTCGCCGGGGATCGCGGAGCGGGCTCGGCTCCTGCAGGCCGGAGAGGGACTCCGTGTCGGATCGGGTCGAATCGACGTTTGGGGATCGGATGGGGCCGAATCGGACCGTGAGCAGCTCTGGGAGGGAGGGGTGGGTGGGTGAGAGGGGGCAGGTGAACACACAGCGTGTGCCAAGGCCACGCTCACGGCGGTGTTGCTGAACGGTGATGTTGGGAACCAGCTTGTAGGAAGTCACGCTCCACGCTTTCCCCACACTTCCCATGTGCACATGCATCGAGCGAGAAGGACACAGCGAGTCGTAGGAAAAAACACAAACCACGAGTTCCCACAGCACCGAGACCTACATCGCCGTTGCCTGCATCGCCGTTAGTGCGTCTACGGGTGTTTGCCGTCGCTCGGACGTCCATCTCCCATGCATTTTTCGGTTTCGTGCGTGTTTTTTTGGCTCGATGGTCCAGGATGGTCCTCGATGGTTCTCGCCGAGAAAGAATGCACACGTCCGAGCGATGCCAAGGGTGTGGGTGAGCTCGAGAGTGGCCGACCGCACAACACTCGACCCGTCGCGGGGCCGCCGGGAGCCCCCCCGGCCGCCTCTGCCCGCGCGGCATCACCTTCCCGAGAGGAGCAGCATCAGCGAGACGAAGGAGGAAGAGGAGGAGGAGCGGGAGGAGGAGGAACGAGGAGGGGGGAGAAGGAGGAGCGAGGAGGAGGAGGAGGAGGAGGAGGAGGAGGAGGAGGAGGAGAAGGAGGAGGAGGAGGAGGAGGAGGAGGAGGAGGGGAGGAGGAGGAGGAGGAGGAGGAGGAGGAGCGAGGAGGAGGAGGAGGAGGAGGAGTGAGGAGGAGGAGGAGGAGGAGGAGGAGGAGGAGGAGGAGGAGGAGGAGGAGGGAGGCGGAGGAGGAGGAGGAGCACCAGTAGAAACCCACGACGCATCAACGATGTTGCACCACATCCTCCATCAACGTTTCCTCTTGATGAGTAGTCCGTCGTGCCAACACACCACTCCTGGGACTGCTGACTTCAACGCTGCGAGGGAGGAATTGCTCGCAGGAACAAGGATGGAGGAGGCGGAGGAGGGGGAGATGGAAGAGGAGGAG